TCTTTCTGTCACCAACACTTTCTGGTTCTGCATTCTAGATATTGATGAATGCGTCTCTGGTAAAGCTGTGTGTCCCTACAATCGAAGATGTGTGAACACATTTGGAAGTTACTACTGCAAATGTCACGTTGGTTTTGAACTGCAATATATCAGTGGCCGATATGACTGCGTAGGTAAGATTCAGTGGTATCTTCTTTTTTTCCTCTCCCCACCAAACCTGTCGGCTTTCTCTGCAGATACGTTGGTGGCAATTCAACCTGTGAGTGGAACAATCCTCTGAACAGACTAGCTTAACAACAGAGAAAAGTTTGGAGCTTTTTTTTTCAGTCTCTGGCATTTAGAAAACTCCAAGGACATCAATTATGAAGCCAGGTCAACAATTATTTAAAGTAAGGAATATAAATCCATTATGGAGGCAAATACCTCAGGATGATTTTTGAGGGTTTTTTAAAAATTTGGTTGTTTTTGTTTTGTTTATGTTTTTGTTTTTGTTTTGTTTATGTTCTCTGAAAATGAGAACAGTAAAGCAGTATTTATATTTGATAAAAGGAAGAAATACAGGCCTATCTGATCTTGATCTCAGTGGGCTGTTCTTAACAGTTTCCATCAATGGTGGCTTTAGAAAAATATCTGAAGGACATGAAGGCACGTATTCTTTCTTCTTTACTCTTTCAAGATCCAAATAAAATGTTCCCTTCCATGATCACCAAAATCGCTCTCTAATAAGATTGTAGTACCAGTCAGCTATTGACCTAATCTGTGTGAGTTAAAATATTTCATCACTCAGTAGATTCCAGGTGTCAATGAGCAAGTGGGCAGTGTATTTGGGGAGCCCTTGGGAACCCCTGATATAATGTAGGATGAAGGCCTGTCCTATAGCAAAGAGAAATTCAGGCACCCAGTAGCTTCCTCTTTACATAACCTGTGTAACAAAGGTGTGTGCCTGACATGGAAAGCTAACATGTGGCGAGAAATAGGATTTATTTCCTTCAACCCTACACTCAGGGCTTCTCAGGATACATCACGCTGGGGCAACATTCAATTACTGGATTTTGAACCATCTCCATGGCTCTTCCCTCAAACCTGAAACACAAAGACCATTCTCGACAGGCTATAAAGTCTGTGCTTCTTGTGGGCATGAACCCCATGCCTTCCTGAAGACCTAGCTGTAGCAGTGATGCTGTGTTCAGAGCATAATTCTCTTTCATAGAACAGGGTGGAATTCACATGGAAAACTTCAAAAAGTGATGAAGATTAGACTCAGAGCTCCCTTCGTGGCTAAATTATAAACAATAGGCTATTTTGTCCGTATGCCTACAAATGTATAGGTAGAAAATGGGATGAGGGATAGGACTAATGAACCTCAAGGTCTCGCTTGTGTGGAATTGGGCAACTTAGCCTCCTCTAAACCCAGCAGAGGGCTCAGCCCAGCCTGACCTTTTTTCCTGGCACTCTTTGAACAAAATGCCCATGCCCGTTAAGTCCAGATGATGTCAGTGGTTCCCAGCCGATCTTGGCTTTTGTTCATTAGGAGTTTCAAGCCTTTCCAAATAGAGAATCGATCTTTTGACATTGTGATTTAGTTCTAAAGTAGGCACATGAAAGAGTGAAGAGGAAAACTTAAACATCTTGCAGAGTGCCATAGGGTTGATAATTGGGAAATGAACTTGCTGTTGCGGAGAAGGGAGCTGCAGACACAGCCCCTAGGTGCCAGCATTGGGCAAAGCTAGGGCCTCTGCCAATGTGCCTGGGCTCTTGAACTCCTCTCAGCTCTCAGGCAACACTAGGTTTGTTGGGAGTGTTGAGCAGCTGCCCCTGGAGTTGCTCATGTGTAGGGGAAGATGGTCTTTCAGCAAGCTCTGTTAACACAAATTTCTTCACTGGCATGTTCACATTTTTAGATATAAACGAATGTGCTGTGAATACCCATACATGCAGCCTCCATGCCAATTGCCTCAATACCCCAGGATCCTTCAAGTGTAAATGCAAGCAGGGATATAAAGGCCACGGGCTGCAGTGTTCTGGTAAGTAGCATTTGGTGGCGGCGGCTTAGCTATTCCCAGTAAAGCATTCTCTCCATGTGACCTTGCTCCCTTAACTTCTCTCTCTCTCCCTCTCTTTCTCACTCTCACTCTTGCTCTGTGCCCGTGTTCACAATGTTCACAATGCCTCTGCCTTGTCTTCTTTGCAAATCGGGCCATGTCTCCAATATTCACTGAAGTTGCAGGCACTAAACTTAAAGAACAGCGAGAGCACTTAATATCTTGCTCGTCATAACATATTTTCAAATACCAAAACTAGGATTTAAAGTCAAAAGACACCGAGCAAATGTATCTGTCAGGATACACTAGGTAACAGTACAGTAACAGGCAATCCTAAAATGTCAGCAGCTTAAAACTGCAAAAGATTTTTAGCCTGAATCAAGACTGTTTCCAGAACACACAACTGAAACTAAGTGTGATGAAGCTGACCTCACTTTCTCTGCCATCCTCAATCCTGGATTCACTGGGTTTCACACGTAGCGAAGAGTCTTATTGCTCTTACTGGTGAATTGTTAAATGTTTGGGTGTTCAAACATTAAATTTGTAAACCAGATGTATAAAAATAAAATCACTGCCATTAACAACTACAACAATAAAGGACGGTTTGGGGGGGCCTGCTATTTTGGTTTTTTGTGACAGAGTGAGATTGTCACTCTGGCTAGAGGGCAATGGTATCAGCCTAGGTCACTGGAACCTCAAACTCCTGGGCCAAAATGGTCCTCCTCCCTCAGTCTCCTGTGTAGCTGGGACTAGTGGCGTGTGCCTCCGCACCCAGCTTTTTTTTTTTTTTTTAATTTTTTTGTAGAGACAGGCTCTCATTCTTTCTCAGGCTGGTCTTGAGCTCCTGAGCTCCATAGATCCTCCCACCTCGGCCTCCCAGAGTGCCAGGATTACAGGCATGAGTCCCCATTCCTGGCCAACAATACAAGTTTATTTCTCACTCATACTATGTCCAAAGAGAGTTTTCAGGGGGTTTCTTCTCAATATAGTCACTTAAGGGACAAAGGGGACAGAGGTCCCACCATCTTACGGCACTCTGTTATCAACTCCAGACCTTACAGTTTGTCATAGCAGTGAAAGTGTGGAGCATGGACAGTCATGTATCACCTCTTAATTAATTCAGCTTGGAAGTATCTAACTTCAAGGGACAAAAAAATAATAATAATCCTGCTGTGCGCCCCAAAGGAAAAGCAAAGCGGAGACTCAGTGAAGAGCCCATGTGCCTGCCAAGGCAGGTCAGTTACAATCGCAGTGCAGTCCCTCCCCTGCTGAATAGTGGACCCAGGTTTATACCTCTGCCAATGTCCCTTTAGCTGGCTCATCGTGTGACTAGTCTTGTTCACCGTCCTGTCTCAGCTCTTTCCTATACCCCTTAGGTAGAGTTCCCACATGTTCAATAAATATGGCTGCAAGTTGAATCCTTACCTACGTCACATCCCATGCCCCCAGGTGGCCAGTGCCACTGATGACTTAACTGGCTATAAGAGTGTCCACTCAGACATACAAATATAAAGTGTATGTACCACGATAGTCAGTGGCACACCCGTAAAACGTTCATCATATCCCACTGGGCCATGGTTGAGCACCACTGGACAAGAATGTGTACCAAAGAATATATCCAAAGGAAATGAGTCTGGAAATCAAATCTATGAAGAGCCATCAAAAGAACTCTAGTTTGGGGGGGGGGTGGAAAAACATAAAGTGTGCCTATAAATATTTTAAGAAATGTGCAAATAAATGTGGTTTCCCAAGCAGACTAAGGCCAGTGGTGGAGGTTAAAAATGACTGCTAGGCGTCTAAGAGTGGAGCAGGGACATCCCACTGCTCCAGCTTGCAGGATGGGGGCTCTGGCTGGGTTTCCTGCAGTGGGCTGGAGATGGGATTAAATGACCTCTCAGTCTCCAGCAACTCAAAGCTGTGGTTTCTCTCCCGCTTTTTTTTTTTTTTTGTAGAGACAGTTTCACTTTATCGCCCTTGATAGAGTACCATGGCGTCACAGCCCATAGCAACCTCCAAATCCTGGGCTTAGATGATTCTCTGGCCTCAACCTCCCAAGTAGCTGGGACTACCAGCTTCTACCACAATGCCCAGCTATTTTTTTGTTGTAGTTTGGCCAGGGCCAGGTTTGAACCTGCCCCAGTATATGGGGCTGGCACCCTACCCACTGAGCCACAGGCCTTCCCGGTTTCTCTCCCTCTTGAGAAGTAGCCAGTGTTGTCCTCCTGAAATTTTACTCAGAGAAAGAGAAAGAGGTCAGCTGCCAGTGTAGGGCTGTGCGTGGTTTGAGGGAGGGCCCCAGAGGGGAGCATGCGCTTTGCACACTGGACGAGTGCTCAAGGGATGCATGCCCCATACTCCTTCATGCCACCAAGATTGAACATGTACCTTCCAAGTTGGGAAGACCTGAATTTAAACCTTAGCTC